TTCTTCTTCCACAGAGTCTGGAGACAGGATGAGCTTGTGTGGGGAAGGGGGAAGTGTCTGATATTAACTTTTTTTCTAATAGTACTTGCTCTCTCAAGGGCCTCTCCCAGGTAGTTTTCCTCTCTGCTAAATATCTCACTCTGTATGTTAACAAGCCGGGTCTTAAAAATTGAAGACTCCTTGCTGCTAAAGGATTAAAGAACTGACTGTACTGCTTCTGGAGCTGCCACTGGAGAGGGGAAGCTGTACGTGGGACCCTAAAGACAGATGTTCAAGTCTCTCCTATAATGAGCTTTTGCCTTTGTCCTTCTGAGGTGATGTGACCAGTGTATTTGAGGAGCAACATCTCTTATCTCCCTCCGCAAATCTTTGCGTTCTCCATTTCGCATTAAAGCAAAACTCCTAACTTTCAAATTTTCACAGGGCAGGTAGGCTGCTTCTTGCTCAGCCACAGTTCACATCCCCTTTTATGTTTGTTTCTTAGCACTGCCAGATCCTCCCTTTTGAGTCAGAGCTTGCAGGGGTAGAGGAGAAAGATATTTTTATATGCATTTTTGGTAACTTTCTATTCTAGATCAAAGCCTGAAGCCTCAGATTGCAGTCCCTCACCTTGCTACAAACAATCCCACTCTCACCACAGTTGCTCTAGAAAAACCTTTCTGTATGTTTGACAACTCACTGTATCCAAATAAATCCTACGTCATCTACTTGTACGCAATGAAGGAATCAGGTGAGTATCCAGCATTACACCTCTCTGGAAGGTAACTACATGATGTGGCCATTGCATGCAATTCTTCACAGTTTGATGGGAATGGGTCTGACTGGGGGAGAAGAGAAAAATCTGTAGCTGTAAGCTATGTACAAGCTGACCCTCTGGTCTCAGTTTTCTCCAGGGTATTATTATAAAATATAATATAAATAACTGTAGTATTTCAGTGAGACGGATTGAAGATGGCAAGTGTTACTACTGTGTTAGCTGACTCCTGGTAGGTGTGGAGCAGCACTATTGGCTAGAAACATTTGCCCAAGTCTTGCTAATGAAACCAAGTGGTCCACAAGCCAATACCTCATCTTTGTCTAAGCACAAATGCCTTCTATAAAGCCTGAATTCCCCAAAGTAAATCTGCTGAGACAAACTGGGTAACTGCTGCCATTTTCTTTGCAGCTAGGGCAGCCAGGCCTTGCAAGGACTATGTGGGGTTTTTTTTGTAGACAAAGGCAAGTCATACTAGACTTACGGTCAAAGATGCCCAGGCCCATCAGTTCATTCATAAAATGAATTTTGTAAGTGCTTGGCAGTGAAACATTGCTGGCAGTGACCAAGTGCTGCCTTCTCTGTTCCCTGCTGCTTTGGCAGACTGTTTCGAATGCCAGCTAGAGCTACTCCATAAGCTGACAGAAATAATTATTTCCTTATATAGATCATGCCTTCTCCCCTGAGGGCTGTATAAAGCCTCCTTTTCTCAGAGGTTCAGAGAAGAGATCTTAAGGGGGGGAGTAGAGAAACTGGCCAACAGACAAAACAATCTAAAACTTCCACTGCTGATTGTTGCCACTTTGCACAAGGTAGAAGGAGGAGGCTTGGGATGGGTAGAGGCTGTAACCAGAGACACCATCCCATACAGCTAACACAGACAATTGTGAATGCGTGGCCTTCTGAGATACATCCCACGACTGTAGTGCATGTCTTTATATGTCTGAAACAGAATATAAGCACATTATATAGAAGGCAACTGATACCTAGTTATACCTGCAAATACGATGTTTTGTGTTAGAAATTACATCAACCACCCCATCTTCTGCAGAATCTCAACAAAAAGGGTTATATACAGAGAAACCTCTTCTGCTGCTTTGAAGGCAAGCAGATGCAAACTTGTTACTTGGCAGACAGGGAGGAATTTTGTTTGGATTTGTCTCTGGTCTGCAGAGAAGCACACTGGCTTGCCCTTGGATGCCTCCTGGAGCAGGGAGAAGGGAAACTTAAAATAGTGTAATTTTCTTAACACCCTATGTTCAGCTCTCCTGGTAAGGAAATATGTCA